CTAAGCACCGGAGCAGTTCGGAGGGGCTCGGGAGCGGCTCCAGGGAGGGAGCTGCGGGGCGGGAGCGCAAATCCAACAACACAGGCCCCGGAGCACAGGGCGCCGGGACACAGCCCAGGATCCGGCCTCCCCCCGGGACAGGCAGAGGCCGGGAGGGCCCAGGACAGCAAGGACGCTCCTGCCCCGAGCTGAGCAGATCAGCGGCCCCGCCCCGGAGCCTCCAGGCCCTGCGGACGGAGAGCCGAGAGCCCCGAGCCCCGTAGTTCCTGCAGAGGCTGAATCCAGGCTTCCAGAGTTGCCATAGCAACTGCAACTGTTCCTCCTGAGACCTCACAGGGTAAACAACCCCCGCTGAGCCCTGCAGCAGGCAGGGGCAGAGCAGCTCCCCCAAGTGCTAACACCTGAGAATCAGCGCAACAGGCCCCTCCCCCAGAAGTCCAGCTAGAGGGACCAGTGATACTCCCCCGTGTTCCAATACAACTTGTTTTTGGCCACTCTGCACTGAGCAAAATGACTAGAAGGAAAACCTCACTTCAAAAGAAAGAATCAGAAACAGCCCTCTCTCCCACAGAGTTACAAAATCTGGATTACAATTCAATGTCAGAAAGCCAATTCAGAAGCACTATTCTACAGCTACTGGTGGCTCTAGAAAAAAGCATTAAGGCCTCACGAGACTTCATGACTGCAGAATTTAGATCCAATCAGGCAGAAATTAAAAATCAATTGAATGAGATGCAATCCAAACTAGAAGTCCTAACGACGAGGGTTAACGAGGTGGAAGAACGAGTGAGTGACATAGAAGACAAGTTAATGGCAAAGAGGGAAACTGAGGAAAAAAGAGATAAACAATTAAAGAACCATGAAGACAGATTAAGGCAAATAAATGACACTCTAAGGAAGAAAAACCTACGTTTAATTGGGGTTCCCGAGGGCGCCGAAAGGGACAGAGGGCCAGAATATGTATTTGAACAAATCCTAGCTGAAAACTTTCCCAATCTGGGAAGGGAAACAGGCAGTCAGATCCAGGAAATAGAGAGATCCCCCCCCTAAAATCAATAAAAACCGTTCAACACCTCGACATCTAATAGTGAAGCTTGCAAATTCCAAAGATAAAGAGAAGATCCTTAAAGCAGCAAGAGACAAGAAGTCCCTGACTTTCATGGGGAGGAATATTAGGGTAACAGCAGACCTCTCCACAGAGACCTGGCAGGCCAGAAAGGGCTGGCAGGATATATTCAGGGTCCTAAATGAGAAGAACATGCAACCAAGAATACTTTATCCAGCAAGGCTCTCATTCAAAATGGAAGGAGAGATAAAGAGCTTCCAAGACAGGCAGGAACTGAAAGAATATGTGACCTCAAAGTTCATGTTTGCAGTGGAGGTTGAGAAAGATGAAAAAAAGAGCAAAGATGTGTTGATCAGAAGTAACTGGCCAAGCCCCTCTGTTCCCTCCCCACCCCAGCCTCTTCCTGGGAGAATCCCAGCCAGGAAAGGTCACCAAGCAGTTTTCAGGTTGCTATGCCTTCAAAGCCCATCTGCCTCTCAACCTCCACAGCTGGCAAGGAACTGCTGCCCATTAAGGGACCACTGCAGTTCTCCGGGATGGCCTCTTTTGGCTAAAGGCCACAGAATAACCAGCCTCAAAGATGCCCTTTATCTACTCTCATAGTATGATGGTCAAATATGTTCAGCCTCAACAACAAATGAGAATCACTGAACACCATAGGCCTGGGAGAGAACCCCCAAACACCTGAAACATCCTCTCCAAGAAAATCTCAGAATCTCATAGACATGAACAGGAGAGGGCAATGAAAGTAAATCTCACTTCTTGTTTTCTAGACTAATAATGTTACATTTCTTTTTTTTTTATTTTTATTTATTTTTTATTTTTTATGATAGTCACAGAGAGAGAGAGAGAGAGGCAGAGACATAGGCAGAGAGAGAAGCAGGCTCCATGCACCGGGAGCCCGATGTGGGATTCGATCCCGGGTCTCCAGGATCGCACCCTGGGCCAAAGGCAGGCGCCAAACTGCTGCGCCACCCAGGGATCCCTAATGTTACATTTCTAATTACAATCCACAACATTCACACCAGCTAAAGTGATTAATTTATCTTACTTGTCACCTTCATAAAATTAAAGTCATCTCTCTACCTGAGATGACTGGAGAACAGCTTAGCAAAAATCAAACAAACAAAAACCAAAAACAGTAATTGCCTAGTATTATTTGAAGGAGCTTCATTTTTCATATAACCTTTATTCCCAAAATCCTGTTTAATGAAGAAAGTAAAGTATTACAGACATCAATCCTTATAGGCTTCAGACCCTATTAAAAATCTAGAGATAACCAGAAAAAACTATTATTAAATGTCACGCATGGGAGGCTACATGTCTGTGCAGTGTTTAATCTGTTGGCTGATCTTGCACACGCTATGTTTAACCATTACCTTTTTATTAACATTTTTTCCCAGATAGCTTTGAGTGTTATAAAGAGGTATCTTTCCAAATGATTTTCATATAATAGAAAAATTGTGCTCAAAACATTGGATGGTTTATTTTTGTTCCATTATTTTCCCCCATATAAGCATAAACTCAATTGGATTAACATACTTGAAACTTCTCATAATAACAATTCATTTCAAAAAATATCTTAGCATTGTAAATTACAGAACAGTATAGTGTGACAAGTAGAAGGCAAAATCCTTGATGTGAAGAAAGTTTTATTTGGATATACAATCAATCTTGAGCAAAGCAAACAATTAGGAGATAACTACACAATTTGAATTATATAAGTCTTAACATAAGCAAGTATATTTGACTTAAAATTAACATTTTTAAGGTCACTGTCATGTTTTGTTGGATATACTTCTAATTCTTAATATTTTTTGATATTTTAAATGGCGTGTTTTATTTAACCATAGGTCTTAAATATTTCTGGTATATAGAATGCAATTTATCTTTTTTTATAGAAAGTGTATCTAGTGAACTTGCTGATGTCCTTTATTAATTTTTTCCCATTATCTTTACAAAGCTTTATTGGAACCTGTATCTCATGATGACAATAATTCAGTGTCTGGAAAACAGTGACAAAAAAATGGGTATCCCAGACCCAGGTTTACCCAAATAAATACTGGAAACCAGAGAGCTCCTTCCTCCATCTCCCAGCAGGTACACAGGGCATAACAGCAGCTTCTGCTGACTTGGGGATAGGAACCTGCCATTATTTGAGGTCTGTTATTAGTGATAATAATGTGCCACTATTTTCTTTTTTAACATAGACAATCATTATCTATGAGTAACTACAACTCGATTCTTTCTTATCCTTATATCTTTAAAAAAATTTTTTTAAGATTTTATTTATTTATTCATGAGACATACAGGAGAGAGGAAGAGACTTAGGCAGAGGGAGAAGCAGGCTCCCCATGGGAAGCCCTAGACCTCCAGGATCAAGCCTTAAGCTGAAGGCAATCATCCAACCGCTGAGCCACCCAGGCGTCCCTTATCTTGATATCTTTTATATCATTTTCTCTTTTCTTATTTATCAGTTGGGACCTCCAATTCAATGCTGACTTGATGCTGTTGTAGCAGGCATCTTTGTCTCATGCTGATTTTAAAGGATATGATGTTTCTAGTGATCTAACAGTAAAGATGATATTTGCTATAAATTTTTGGTAGGTACTTTTTAAGTTATTTGTTATATTTTTTTATTCACTGTGATAATTTTCAGTAACTTAGTATTCATAGATAGCTTGAAATCAAAATGAATATGTGCTCCCTCCTCTAACAAAAAGATCTTAGAAAGCTTCACCTAAAATTACTCACCTCACCAGATATTCCTACCCCAATTCCAATTCTTTTTCTGTTACCCGCAAAATTAAATATATTTGTCATAGACACAACAGTTTACATTTATCCATATGTTAAACTTTGCTCATCATTTCTTGTTACATTTCACCCACATTCTTCTTTTTTCTTCTTCCTAAAGTAAGTCCTTTAGTAACTCCTTTAAAGAGGGTCTATTGGTAATAAACTCTCAATATTTATTTGTTGAAAATGCCTTTATTTTGCCCTTTATTTTCATTTAGTGAATGAAATTTTAACTAGGTATGTATTACCATATAGACCATTCTTTTTTTTTTTCAGCATTTTGAAAATAATTTTCTCCATCCTAAGACCTCTTTCTATTGTTGATGTTGAAAAGTCTGGGATGCCTGGGTGGCTCACTGGTTGAGTACCTGCCTTCAGCCCAGGGCGTGATCCTGGGATAGAGTCCCACATCAGGCTTCCTGCGTGGAGCCTGCTTCTCCTTCTGCCTATGTCTCTGCCTCTCTCTCTCTCTCTGTGTGTCTCTCATGAATAAATAAATAAAATCTTAAATTAAAAAAAAAGTCAGCTCTCACACTAATTAACTAAGTACCTCTCAAAAGTCTGTGGAGCTTGTTAGAAAGGTAGATCTCAGATCCCTACAATGACCAATTGGATAAGAACTTTAAAGTGGTAGGGACATATCTACATGCTTATTTACTAACTTTGCAGATGATTCTGGGGCATATTAGAAGTTGAGAGCCTAACAGTAATTTATGTATAGAGAACTTAATCTCCTCCTACTTTTAAAATCTTCAAGATATTATGATATGTCTAGATATAGACATATTTATTTATTGTGCTTGAGAATTTTTATTATTCCTGCATCTAAAGATGCATGCCTTTCATTAATTCTTGGAAATCCTCAGCTATTATTTTACCAAATACTATCTGTCCTACATTTTCTCCTTCAATAACTCCAATAACATGTGTTCTAAACATTTTCATTTTTCCTTCCCTATAGTTTTTCATGTAGATCTCTACACATTAATATTCCTGATGTTTTCATAGGAAAATAATTTTTGGAGAATCTGTAAATGACTACATCTGCAGAAATTTAATTCAACAATTTACCCAACAAATACTGAGTGACTTGTACACACACTTCTAATCCCAGAGTCAGAAAAGAACTTTCCACTAAAATAATATAGCATTTTATTATTACTGTAGTACCTTAAAGCTTAACGAGAGGAGCATCACCAAAAAATATACTGTAAAATGGAATGAGACCTTTCTAGTGTATATTCATGAAGTAAAATCTTTCAGAAGACATTCAAGGCAAGCTTATACTATCTATATTTTCACATCTCAATGTGTTCTTTCACAAAAAGGTCCCTATGTATCATATCTTTGTCAAAATGCAGTAACTTATGTTTAAAATACTTCTCAGAGAAGAAACAGCTAAGCTGAAAAAATACAAGATATTTTCCTTTGACTTTAAAATTCATTTAATTAATAGTTGTATTCATCGACTTCACAGAAAATCTGTTTCTTGATATTTCAGGGACCTTTCATCATATTTGGTGATTCAATTATTTTCACAGAAAAGAATGTCAGCAGTTTTAGAATGCCAGAACAATAGCTTCATCTGAACCTCTGGGTGCTTCCCCTCCACCTGAAAATATGAAAAGGACAAAGAGCTTGAGTAGAAATAAAATCAGACATAGAACCTAATGGGGGAGAGGGCATATGGTTCCTTAAAATGCTGATGGATGAAATGAGAGATTTAAAACTTAATTGTTTTAAAAGCTAATGCTTTTGAGGCTAATTATCTGTAATGACAACATGTCTGTGAGCTATGTAAATAAGAACCTACAATGAGACACATCTGTCATAATGAAATTGTGACACAGGAGAAATTAGACTAAAGCTTTCCCTATAGTGAGTTTTTAGATAAACTTTTTCTCTGATTAATAAAATGTCCCATTTTATTTGAGATGCTTGCAGTGAGACTTGGAAAGAAATAGGATTGGATTGTTACAGGAATTCTTTATGGATGAATTATGCAGATTCAACCTGATTATTTCATTTATGCTCAGCAGAGGCTATGATTGCTCCATCTGAATCAGCCATTGCCAGATTCTTTGTAGACACACAGGATCTTCTGAGAACTGAAGACTAGTACCTGACATTATTATATGAGCTTATTTACATAGAGAAACTCATTCAGAAGAAATTCTTTTCTCTCTCTCTCTCTCTTTCTTCATCAATAGACCATCATAAAACAGACAGAAACTACTTTGATCTGAGTCTTACCCTGTCTCACATTTTTCTCTCACCTTAACTCCCACCTGTCCCTTTCTGCTGGCTCTTTCCCATTAGTCTAGAAATGTGTGCATGTCTCAGTCATCTAAAAAAAAATTAATTTACAAAAAAATAAAGAAAGCCCTCTTTAAATTCTGCCTATCCACTCACACTCCACTCGCTGAAAGAAGAGCATATCTCCATCTTTGCTTTTAAACTTCCCTTTCATTCTACAACCCCATAGTCATCTGGCTTTTGCCTGGATTAGAAATCTTGTTAAGACCTCTAATAGCAACAAGGACTGAGAAATAGACAATAGAATGTCCTTACCTTGTTTGACCACTCCAGTGCACCCAACATTATTAATGACTCTTTCTCTTCATGAGGTTCTTTACATTCTTGGCATCTAGGACTGCTTTTCCTGCTACATCTCAGTTCTACTCTCTTCCCTGGTCTTTTTTTTTTAATTTTTATTTATTTATGATAGTCACACACACACACACACAGAGAGAGAGAGAGAGAGAGAGAGAGAGAGAGAGAGAGAGAGGGGCAGAGACACAGGCAGAGGGAGAAGCAGGCTCCATGCACCGGGAGCCCGACGTGGGATTCGATCCCGGGTCTCCAGGATTGCGCCCTGGGCTAAAGGCAGGTGCTAAACCGCTGCATCACCCAGGGATCCCTTCCCTGGTCTCCTTATCAACAATCCTCCCACTAAACACTGGTGAGCCTCAGACTTCTATCATGAGGCCCCTTCTCTTCATATTCTACCTGGGCAATTTCATCCTTGCTCACAGTTTTTCCATAAGGCTGAGAATTCCAAAATCTCCATCTGCTATTCAAACTCTCTCCTCAGCTCCTGAGCTCTGAATCTATATATCCCACAGCTCACATTGATGTGAAATAGACACCTCAACTCAATATACCAGAAAAGCTTTACTTTAAAACAATAAAAGGTGTTTCCTGCTATATTCCTTATCCTCTCAGCTCTTCAACCAGGTGCCAAAGAATCAGCTTGTCTCTTCTCTTTCCCCATTGTCTGATCTCAATATAAATCTTGTTGATTTCCCCACCTCCTTCTTCCATTCTCAGTGTCTTACCTATTCCCCTGTCTTCCTTCTCAATGTCGCTGCTGTAATGCACACACTCATTATCCCTTGCTTAGAATATTGTCTCCTAACCAATCTCCCCGTCATTACATTTACTCCTTTCCAGTCCATTCAACTCACTGCCACAATGAACTGCCTAAAATTGCAAATCTCATTCTGTTGTCAAAAACTCTCTACATTGGATATATCTTATGCTCCCCCTCAGACCTTCCAACCTCCCTGTTTCCCAGGCCTCTGTCACTTGCTCTGTCTTAACTATAGCTACACTACACATCTCAATGCATGCCTATAAATATCTTCTGCCTGAGGCCAAAGCCTGGAGCTTCTAGCTCCCCACCACCAGTTCCAGGCTCAGATGGAAGCACCACACACTGGTGGGCCAGGTTCTCCAAGAAGCAAATACCAAGATTCAATTAAACATGTGTTACAGATCTGATTCTGATTGAAAGAGAAAGGGAAGGAAGGAAAGTTGGATAGAAGCATCTTAGACTCTAGTGCAGTTCTAATGAAATGCTGGCAGGACCACCTCAAGCTAAAATCTGTTAGAGACATCCCTGTCTCCTAGGAATAGACCTGCCTTATTATCTCTGCTATGATCAATCGCTGGGACATAGAGAAGAAGTGTGGACTCTGTACAACACAGCATGGTCTCAGATCCTCCAAATCATACTGTTGGATAGACACAGCAGCAATCTACTACTGTATGATGGAAGTGGCACATTTGTGATGGGGCTGGAGCAGGTCCAAAATTATGAGTAAATTATTGTCAGCTGCTGGCTGAGACTGCCTGCCACCTACTTCTACTACATCAAGGCCTCTCCTTCAACCCATGAATTTCTGGGCTGACCAAGTCTTCGAGGAAAAAGACACAGGACTGGCTCATAGTTGTTAGAATGCTATGTTGGTGTAGCTAAAAATGGATAGCTACTGCATTATAGTTCAAAATGTGGGTGACTCTGAAAGATGGTCTGACAAAATGACCCTAAATAGTCTCCTTGACCAGCCCAGTGCTTGCGCAATAAGCCACAAACAGAGTAGATAGGGTAGCAGGGATGAAGATTATGCATGGGCCTAATAACAAGGGCCTCTTATCATCATGGCCAATCTAGCAACTGCCACTTATGAGTGATCAATGTGCCAGCATCAGATGGCCCTCAACATATCATCATCCTTTTAGGTGTCAGCCAATAATCTATCTAGTGGTGAATCAATTTTTCCATGTTGGAGGGGACAGTAATTATTAATCTGTATCAAAATTGATACATATTCTGGATATGTGGTTGCTTTTCCTACCTGTCGTGACTCTATCTGCATCACCATCAAAGCACTTATGGAATGCTTTATCCTTCAGCATATTTTCCACACAATGTTAGCTCCATTGTGGGATGTTTTTCCACAGCCAAAGAGGTGCAAAAGTGGACTTGTTACCAGGAGACACAATGATAATCCTATGTATCCCACCGTCTAGAAGCAGCCAGGAGAACAGAATGACAGCCTATTAAAGGCTCAACTATGGATTCAGTATCTTGTGGGATTTGGGTGTTGTCTTCTAAGAAGTGATACATGGGACAAATCAACAGCTGACATATATATTATGCCTCCAACAATAAGAATATATGGATCCAAGAAGCAGGAGAAGTTCAAGTTGCCCCCTCATCATCAAGCACAGGTGTCCATTGATAGTATTTGTGTTTCTACTTCCTGCAGTCTAAGGTTTCCCAATTAAAGGTCCTAGTTCCCAGAGAAGGGATAGTTCTGCTACTATATATAATAAGAGTCCCATTAAACTTAAAGTTATGACTACCACCTGACCATTTTGAGCTTTAATGCCAATAGTCCAACAGATAAGGAAATGAGGGAGGAGGGGCAAGATGGCAGAGGAGTAGGGTCCCCAAGTCACCTGTCCCCACCAACTTACCTAGATAACGTTCAAATCATCCTGAAAACCTATGAATTTGGCCTGAGATTTAAAGAGAGAACAGCTGGAATGCTACAGTGAGAAGAGTTTGTGCTATCAAGGTAGGAAGACGGGAAAAAAATAAAGAAATAAAAAGCATCCAAGGGGGAGGGGCCCCACACGGAGCCGGGCTCAGGCCGCCCGGGAGCACCCCCAGGACAGGTAAGGCCCATCCCAGAGAAGCAGGAGCTTCGCCAACCTTCCCAGATGGAAAGGCACTCGCAGGGAGCTCAGGCAGGATCCCAGGAGGGGCGGGGATGTCCTCAGGCTCCCGGGGGCACTAACAGAGGACCTGGGCCACGGGGGAGAGCGCGCCACACCCCGCAGCCGAGCTCCCTAAAGGGCTGCAGCGCAGGCACGGCGGGGCCCCGGGAGCAGCTCAGTGGCGGCAGCTCAGGCGGTGGCTCACGTGGAGGGGGCTGCATGCCCCGGGATCGGGATTCCAGCGGTGCAGGCCCGGGAGCCCAGGGTGCCAGGGGACATAGCCCAGGATCCGGTGCTTCCCCTGGGACAGGTGGAGGCCAGGAGGACACAGGACAGCAAGGACGATCCTGCCGCCGGGCAGTCCTGAGCTGTGCAGATCCGCAACCCCCGACCCTGGAGCATCCAGGCCCTTGAGGACTGGGAGCTGCTGTAGTTACTGCTGGAGCTGACTCCAGGGCTGCAGAGCTGGCCGCTGCCACTGTTGTTGTTCCTCCTTGGGCCTCAGGGAATAAACAACCCCCACTGAGCCTCACAGTGGCCTCACAGGATAAACAAGATAAACAGTTCCCACTGAGCCGAGCACCAGGCAGGGGGCTGAGCAGCTCCCCCAGGTGCTCACACCTGAGAATCAGCACAGCAGGCCCTCTCCCAGAAGGCCAGTTAGAAGGAGAGAGGAAAAACAAGTTATTGACCAAAGAGCACTGGAAAGTTCCAGGGGAAGTCCAGGGATTTATAGTATATAGAATCAGAGGATACTCCCCCTTGTTTTTTGTTTTCTGTTTGCTTCCACCATCCCCCCTTTTTTCTCTTTTTTTTCTTCTTTTTTTATTTTTCTTTTCTTTTTTCTCTTCTCTCTTTTTCTCCTTTTCCCAGTACAACTTGTTTTTGGCCACTCTGCACTGAGCAAAATGACTAGAAGGAAAAACTCACCTCAAAAGAAAATCAGAAACAGTCCTTTCTCCCACAGAGTTACAGAATTTGGGTTACAATTCAATGTCAGAAAGCCAATTCAGAAGCACAATTATAAAGCTACTGGTGGCTCTAGAAAAAAGCATAAAGGACTCAAGAGACTTCATGACTGCAGAATTTAGATCTAATCAGGCA